ATTTCACTTTCAGGCCTCTTTAATCCTTAAAGAAAGAGTCTAGTTGGGCCTGCTCTTTGATTAAGGTGTTGGGTGAGAAATGAAGCTACTACTGACAAATAAACACTTCGCGACCCGTAATCTTGAGACTGTGAAGAAAATTGGAATGGGAAAAGGCGCGTAAGACGGCATGGATAAGCAATTACTACTTGAAGCAAAAACATTCACTGCTTACTCTACAGTGGCACTACACAAGCATAGTTACTCGTGGCTAATATGTTCTGAAATGATGCTATGTTGCTATACCATACAGCAGAAGCCGTTCCTTCGTACATCCTCTTTCACCCCGCTACCATGACCATCAAACCAAGATTACATTCGCGAACAGCACCTTTAGTATTACTGAGCTGTGGATTGTCCATCGTCTAATTTTCTGTACATAAAGACAAGTCGTAAGTGCCGATCGGGTTGGGTTGGGTTGGGTTAGGTTAGGTTAGGTTAGGTTAAGTTAGGTTACGTTACGTTACGTTAGGTTAGGTTAGGTTAGGTTAGTTTAGGTTAGGTGTGGCTAGGTTAAGCTAGGCTGAGTTATAAGCTCAATATAAGTCACAATATGACAATATCGAAACTTTTTAAAACAGATTCTAAAAACGTATGCCTATATATACATACCTAATATACTTGCAAATGAAATATACACAAAGCCAAAATGAGTAGTTTATTTTAAGGTACAACAATTTAATTAAGAATGTTAGGAGAAAAAAACGACCAGGAATGGACATAAGAATAGAGCTGTTTACACAATAGAAGCCAAAACATTGCAAGTAAAAATTCTTGACACAAACACTATCAATAAAATATTAAAGTATTGTTTATTTGTTGTTTATTTATGCGCTGGTCTTGTAGCAGGCACGGTACACACAAGAAACACATCCCAGAGGGAGATCAGCTGCCCGAGACCGGGGCGTAGACGGGAGTTTAACACTGGAACAGGCATTCCTAAGTAAGTTGTCAAGATGTAAAACAGATTCCAGTTGCTTAAGTTAAGGTCCAACTGTGGTCTCAAATGAAAAAGTAAATGATCCTTGAGATTTTACATGAAGCGAATAATTTATTGAATGGCTAAGCGACTAACAGAGTCTGAAAATAATTCTGCCTCCACATACTTACTTAGATTCGCTGTTATAGTCGAGGATATACTTTTCTAACTATGGAAAGAGTTCTCGGTAGAAATGTCTTTTAACAAATCCTTAAAGAAGTAAACTCAACCACAAATATAAAACACGCGCTTTTGATCTTTAAAATGTTCCCCTTAAAAATAGGAAATTAGTTTTGTTTGTGAAACAACTTAAAAGAGAGGAAATGAATTGTCATTTGCAACAGACAACTTGAATGCAACAATTTCCTCCCCATTCCTGTCCCATACATACTACCGGGCTCGTGTGTGTGTATTGTTTGAACAATAAGAAGAAATAAAGCTCCCAAGCTGACTAGTCGACATCCATATTCAAAGCACGACCTCTCGTGGCGTCTCATTCTCTCTCTCTCTCTCTCTCGACAGCCCTAGTTTCTCGACTCGCACACATTATCGATCTTTCATCGCCAATCCGTCAATAATTGAAGCTGCGACGTAAGGCTAAGCTTTATAAAAGCAGGCAAGGTTAAAAAGACAACACAGAGAAGAGACGATGGTAATGAATGTCTCCTTATTTAGTACAGAAATCTCAGTATATAAACTCTGCAACTTTTACCATCGGCAACAAATGTTGTTAGAGCGATGAAACCAAATATAAAACATAATGTGACACGCGGGTATTGGATAATTGTTTTAAATATAAAACAATATTTGTACGTGAGTTTTCAGGTTCTTGCGGCAGCGACTATGAACGCGAATGTTTTGAGATGCCACACCGTTTATCCAATAGTAAGTTTAATGGAATTTCAGAGGTGTTTCCAGCCCTGATGATGGAAACAATAAGCACATCTGAAACGTCGGTAGAATTTTACCAGACTACACACCTCAAAATCGCAGAAGACAGTCATCTTATCACTACTTATACTTCATAAATACAAATTAAGTGAGAAGTGTTTGACACGGCTAAATTATGCCAGCAGCCGCGGTTATACGTCGGGCACCAAAAACTACTCCTCTTGTAGGTTTTTGAGGCAGGGCGCTATATAATCAAAATCTATTGTTATTTATGCAAGGCAAAATCTGCATACCTGATAATCCATTTATTGTTAAATTAAGAACAATGTTGATATTATTTTCATAATTTCAAGAACTATTATTGACGTTCCCTGCAACAAAAAACCATCAACGAATAACTCATTATCTTAATAGCTTTATTATTAAATATATGAATTAATAATATAAACATAAATAAACGGAGCGTTAAAATGTAAAAGAAACAATAACGTCAGACTTAAAACATAAATCTGATGTTCCATTTGTCAATTAATTAACACATGCTTCTTCTTAAATCGTGGCGTACATAGAACTGCGTGTTAAAAAAGAATTTGGCACTAGCTATGAATATTTGTAGAAAATAAAAAGTGTAAATTTTTCAATTCAGTGCACAAAATAAGCAAATTGTGACTTGTATCAATATGGAAAATTTAGAAAAGGATCAAATGCAGCAGCCTACAAATACCACGAAACGAGCACTGTATTCTGCGTGTGACAAGTCCATCCCCTGGAGAATTTGCCGACGTAAGCAAAAGAGACGAGAGTTGCCTGCATAATGTGCTTGGGGAAGAGGTTCTTTATATGCGTTCTTCTAACAGGAATGAAAAACGTTTCTGTGGAGGTCTTATACTCAACAAAAGTTTCAGGTTGGACCAAAGTGAATAACAATTAATAATGGTATTAATAAAACTTATAACAATAGGCTCTTATTATGCCCTCAATTTTTTAGAGGAAACCAGCATGTAGATCTACTGATTTTGATAGACACAATTACATAACGTATTGGGAAAATATATTTCAAGGCAAAAAATTCGTTAAAGATGTCTTGATGTGCTAATGCCCAGCAAATGAATGTGTCTGCGAAACTGGATAATCTAGGGCTTGTGAAAGATTAAACATTTACGATTGCAACGTATCAGGTAATCACAATATTTGTTATAATCATCAATTTCACCATTTTTACGTGTCAATTTATTACCGCCCAACTACATATTATGGCAAAAAGAACGAACACTTAAGAACGAATATCAAATGATGTTCTCTATCGAAATGTTCGATTTACATTAGTTCATCACTTTTTACACGACATGTTTCAGTTCTTAAAGAACCATCCTCAGGTGTATAAAATTATATAAACTTAAATATAATTTCTTAAATATGCCCTTTATGTGGGGCGACAGAAAGCGAGATTTACATACTATTAAAGTGTACGGAAACCAGGAGGTGGAGGGAACAGCTCCTGAGGAACAAGTGGTTCACCGTTGGTGAAGAGTTGGCCTTCAAGAAAATTTTAAGCACTACGAATGACACGAAGGTCAGGGAACTTTCTGTACAAAGTAAGATGTAAAAGGCAGGTCAAAATTAGGAATTTAGAACTGCCACTGGGGTAGAAGGCACGGGGGCAATAAGAAATAGTTATGTAAATTGTATTAGGGATTAAGGAATGGTCATGTAGAGTAGCATTAGTGAATAGTTGTAGTAAGCAGTGGTGCTAATAGTGCTACATATGTAAGGACTGTGGCCGTGAAAACCTGGTGTTAGGCGGCCACAGATCTCTGTATATAGTTATTATTGGTTGAGCTCCCTTGGTGAGCGGACGTGTTTTTGTGAGCTCTTCATACCTGCTGAATAACTGTGAGTGAGTGTGCTTCGCCCACAGCCTACCGGCACTATGGCTGCTAGCAAAGACTGTTGCTCGGTGTGTGAGAAACCGTTCTACGGTAAACAGAAATTTAATAGATGTAGCGGGGATTGTGAAACAAGGTTTCATCTCTCCTGCCTCAAAATGAGCGACACTGAATATTCGTTTCTCATGGTGGAAGGGAAATCGACGTACAATTGTGCATCGTGTGTTGTGGCTAATCGCGCTTGTAGCGCTAAAAACGCACCTAGAAGAAGCTTGAGATCTGCTTCAACTTTGGAACTTCCAGTGAAGGAAGTTTTTCCTGATGGGGAGCCTATTCTTTCAGACCCCGAGTCACTCGGCCGCCAGATCGAGATGGTGCGGCTCAACGGAGCTAGCACGCATAAGATTATTGAGAATCTCGTCCAGATGGTTTGTAAACTTTCCGAAGATGTACAGCTACTTCGGAAAGACAACGAATATTTGAAATATCAGTTTAGCAGACTATCTTCCAGCGCACCTACGCCGGCAGCACCCGCAACGAAATCTTCCATTGTTCCTGCAAAGAAAGCCACGGACGCGGTTCCTTGTTCTGTCTCGTCTGTCGCCGAAGCGGGATCCAAATCCTACAAAGACTGGATTAAAACCTAAAGTCTCCATTGTGGACACTGAAGGTTTTACAACAGTAAGTAATAAAAAGAAGCCATCTTCAGGGACAACCTCGGCCAACACAGTTAGACAACGCAGACAGCCGTTGTTAGGGGTGAGAAACTCTGCTTCTCTACCCATTGTATCCAAAAGGGAAAGGTCCAAGGCCCTTTTTGTCTCACGATTCAGCCCTGAGGTCACGACTGCTGACGTAGATAAGTCCTTAAAAGAGCAGTTAAGCCTCAAAAGGTTAGTTTGCACTAGGCTTAAAACCAAATTTAATTCCTATGCATCCTTTCACATTTTGGTCAACGAAGAGGATTTTCCCCTTGTAAATAACACCGGTGTATGGCCAAATGGGTGCCTGATTGCTCCCTTTTATGGGAAACTGACCCCTGATCAGGTGTACTCCCCTGGTGCCCCTCTTATTTCTATACCAACAACGGCTGACTCTGACTCTGCCACTGCAATGAGCCCTACAACGAAGCCGACTAGCACTTGTGAGGAGCTTGGGGGAAGCATCAGTACCACTTAACTATGTCAGGTAACTGTTGTGCCACCATTTCGGATCGTCTCACCACGTCTGGTTCTAAGCGTTTGGATTCTATTGATATCTTTTACCAAAATGTTAGAGGTTTGCGTACTAAATGTACCAACTTTCATGATAATGTCTGTATTAATGATTTCAAAATTATATGTATTACCGAGACGT